GGATCGCAACCCTCAGTGTTGCCCCCGTACCGGACCGGGGACCGGCAACGGGATCGCAACCCTCGGTGTTGCTCCCGCGCCTCGCTCAGCCAGTGAGCAGGAACCGGTCTGTATGTGGGATCCGAACCCTCGGGCGGGAGCGCCGCCGCGCTTCCGAAGCGGCGCATTATAGCAGTGCGCCACCGGGCCGGCCCTCAAATGACCATTTCTGATGATTCTCTTTAAGTAGGACCAACTTCAGCAAAATTACCAAAACAAACTATAATAACATAATGAAAATACAGAAAGAGCATACAATCTGAGAATCTTAATATTCCTGGGTCCCACCATCTACAATATACTGTGTCCTCAACATATACTTTGCAGTCAGCATGAAGATTAAATTACATAATGCATTTAAAGCAGTTGGAATCCTACCAGATGATTATTCACCTCTGATTACCTTTGATAATATAGATAATAATGGCAGAGATCATCAAATACCCTAAATTGCTCATTTTAAAACAACAACCTTATGGTTATGTGGTTACTTTTAGTACCCAATTACTGTATACTAAAATCCCCAATTATATACACACTAGTACGTATGTCTATATTTAAATAACGTGATAACACATCTCTTGTTTATCAGTCCTGGCCCTCCACAAATACTCTTTCTTCTGAACTGCTACTTCCTCACATGACTAGATGTTTTTCCCTACAGGCTCCTCTCCATGTGCACCTCCTTCAACTGTGAGGTCACAATTTAAAGGAGGAGGTCACAATAACCATGCAGTTCTACTCAATCAGCTGCCTTGGGGACTCGCTGGAGCTCTGTTCAGTTAGTGAAATGTCACTAACTCTTCACGTGGGGTCCCAAAAGACTTCAGTGTCTCCCGGACTGATTGCACCGCTATGGAGGAGCCTTCTCCTATGAAGATTCTCTTAGTGACAAGAGCTTTAATATCTTTAAGGAATTCTACTTTCGTTGCTGAGTTAGATCTATTTTAACTAGAATTATCACTTATATATGGTTATATCTGGGTTCAACTTATTTGCTGTGAGGTAAGTGATTGTCATATATCTATAAAAATTTTAAAATGTATAACAATTACTAAAGAAAAGGAATTTGGTAATGCTAAATTTACAATACAATTCAGGAAATCAAATGGAAAGGAGGCTCATAGTATCTTGGCTGTAAGATTACAGTTGTAAATTGTTGGGGCTGAAAAAAGCCACATGTTTAGACAAATACTTTCTCAGTCTTCTTTATCTAGAAATTCCTACTATTCAACATTTCTCCCCACCCCCACAAAAAAGAGCAGTCAGTTTAGATACAAGTTTGAGAAACAGAGGGGTAGGGGACAAAGTTTCCATAATATCAAAGTTGCTGAATGTTTGGGCTAAATGATAAGATTCTCCCCCTAGTTTAGAGCATTCTTTGTCTCCCTCCTACCCTCTTCTCCCTGGGGACTGGCTGTCTCCCAACCACTGCAGGTGTGTGTGCTGACAGTCTCCATGCTGGGACACATGTGGAGTGACCACAGTGGTCCCCTGGTCACTGTGCTGCAGTGAGGCAACAAGAATAAGCCACCCTCACGCTCGCTACAGTAAAAAGAACTCTGTTCAGAACAGGAACTATTATTTTATCTGCAGCACAGACAAATCTCTAATATAGGAGTATGTTTTATGATGGAGATTTGCTGTATGAATCTATTAACTACATCCTTGCTAATAACTATAAAATTGGCTTAACTGAATTATATGCACCCAAAAACTGGGCTCTAGTACTAAAAGCAAAACTCACTTAAAGCTTTTAACATTTAAACCGGAACTCAAAATGAGCTAAAACAGATTATTTCAAAAAATGAAGGGAAACCTGCAGACTACGGAAATATATGAAATCCCTGTTCTGCACAGAGAACAATTTCTCTTTCACTCATATTCCAAAATAAGTGAGGAAATTAAAGCTGTATGAATGGTCTCTGATTAAGTTCCTCCATTTGAAAAACAATCCATTAGGTTCAAGTATTAAAAAAGCAAACTAGACACTATGAAAGTTTAACCTGTGACCCATTGATTACTTACTGTCAAATGGTTTGGGGGAATTCTTTTCACAATAATTCTGTTCCAACACAAAATCACTTTAAAGAGCCAGGACCACAGAGATTGGTTAAATGCTGTGGGGGTCAAAGGAGGGAGAGGAGGAAGGACACTGTCCCCAGACCCTTGCCTAAATCTCCACGTCTCATAAGCTGGTCAAAGTGTTCCCACTGCTGACTCTGGGTTTGGTAATCTGTTATTCCCCAACCCCATCCATTTCCTCACCTACCTGTTCAGTCATACATCCAACCAATATTAAATGTCTTTTACACACACATATATGACACATGCCAACTCTCAAGGAACAGAATGTAGTGGAGGAAAAAAGGCAGGAAAATCTGCAATAGCAATACAAACATGTGCCACCGCAGGGTTAAGTACCAAGTGCCAAGGAACCTCACGGGGCTGAGAAGCTAACCCAACTCCACAGCGCTGAGGCAACTCCCTGCAAAAGGAAGCTTCAAGCTAAATGGCAGCTGGCCAAGCCAAGAAGTGGGAGAGCGTGTGGTAAGGACTGTCGCAGGTGGTTGAGACAGCGTGTGAAAGGCAGAAAGAGCAAATGTGAAAGGTCCCGCATGGCTGAAATGGAGAGTGAGATGGCAAAGAGTGAGAGCTGATCCCAGCTGTTAAGCCAGGCCTACGGGGAGCTCCTAATTTGCCCCTGCATGCCTCTAAGAGACCAGGGATTCAGAAATAAAAATGCCATGTACTGTAAAGGACTCGAGTCTTAATGACCATCACTGTACCTGTTGATTTTAACAGCAAGAGGGAAGCTAATCGATACTTCATTTTAGAAAACTTGTCAAAGGCTATGTGAAATAAGGCAAAGGACAGATCAAGTCTGCAGACAAGAGGGTTCTATCCAGCTGAAATATCAAATTCCTGTGTGACATATGAAACATAACTCCATGCATAAAAAATTGGTGAATGTACTTCAGCAAAGAAGACACATCTAGTGAATAAAGCAATGAATCGTCTCATAAGAAGTTACGACGGTAGCTAGTGGATGAAGGGAAGGATGCTGAATACCTAAAGAAGCTGGGCCCGCTTGTTACCTTGAGTTTTCTCAGGCCCTTGATTTTCTCATCTACATGAGAAATAGTTGATCTGGTTGTCTCCAACACTTCTAAGACCCAGTATTCCTGTTATACTCAAAAGGCTGTCATAATCAAAAGTATCTTATCACCAAAGGCAAGAATTTAAATAAGAATTTAAGTCACAGATTTACTATAGTTCTGAGATTTTTAAAAAAAGCATGGGCCCTCAAACTGTCCTAAATTCAAAAGACAAATACAGTTAAGTTTGTGTACCTTTTAAAAGTTGACAAATTATGCATAACCAAATATAAAGATGATCAAAATTTTAGAACATGCAAATAAGATGATTTTTTTTCAAGTAAAGAGAAAGTAAAAAAACTAACATAACTAGGCAGGCAATGATTCGGGATATTCACTTCCCTTTCTGTTGGTTTCATTCCCCTTAAGTTAAAACACTTGTAATATGTAAATTATTCACTAAAGACTTTCAGAGCCCTTTCTGCTTAGATGTGCAGGATCTTTATGCATAAAAATTATTTTTAGACTTCCATGTGATAGAAAAGGGATATGAAGCATTGCGGACTTACAAAATAAAGCAAACTAAGGCAGGGAAATGTGCAAAGCAGAAGCAAATTACCTAGGATCCCAATTTTAACCATTTAGAAATGCTTAAGTAGTAAAAAGTGGATATTCTATGATTTTAGGAACTTGAGTTAGGCTCTGTTTAGGAGTACCTACTAAGTGCTTGGTTAGTTCCGTGTTAAGCACTTGGAGCTTTTCGGGTTGAGGATCCTTACAATCTTATCAGATGGGCATTACTTCTTTTCTAAATGTAAAGAAACTAAGTGGGAACAAAGGCTCAGCACGGTAAGTAACTAGACAAAGACACACAGCTTAGGAAGTAAAGAAGCTAGACTTTAAACCCCATTCTACTCAACATCAAATCTCTTCTTTCCATAGATGATCCAGACTTTAAGCATCAAAGTAAACAAACAAGAAAATTTCCCCTTTTACATGATTCTCTTAAATATATGCCATCATTTCAAGGGGAACTTTTGCTAAGCATGATTTCATAAACAAATCATTTATGAAAGAGAAAAACCACATCCAGGGTAAAGTCATAAGTTGAAAAAACCTTATTTGAGAGAGTACTTCCTGAAAGAGACAAAGCAGCAATTACGGCTGAACAAGCACTGACTCCCATACCAAGTGTTATATTTGAAACAACTTTTAAAGCAACATGAGAGCCTAAAGCAAAAGAAATACAACATTTCTTAAATACACCATTTCCAGAAAGGTCTATTTTAACACAAGCAACTGAAAGATATCTCTTTTACAGAACTGGATATACCACAAAATGTTCATCTCCAAGAAAGCCTTTTGACCGACAGGAGGTAAGCTGCATTTAACTAACTTCATCGTAGATCATTGCTTTACTTACTGAATTCAAAATCGTTGTTTTATTTTAATAATTCATTACTGAAACTATGTTGGTGAAGGACACAGGTTGAAATAAGTTACGTTACCTTTCCACACTATTAATATGGTTTTGCACTTATTTTCACTATTGTTTTACATTAATATTAAATGTAAATTTTTTCAATTTAAGGAAAACATTAATATGTTAAGTCATCAATATTTTTAGGCATCTGTGTCACATGGTTTCAATTACATTGTTTGATGAAATGTCCTTGTTTTTATGAAAAGAAAAACTATAGATAATCATGGAATCTAAAGCTTTAAAAAGCTGATTTTTTTAAACTGGGGGCTGGCCAGTTAGCTCAGTTGGTCAGAGTGCTGTGCTGTAACACCGGTGTCAAGGATTTAGATCCCCATACTGGCCAGCTGCTCCAAAAAAAAAAAAGCTGACTTGAAAACCAATCACTTTTCAATATTTATCCAAAAATTTCCCTGTGTTTTCAGAGCACAACCTATACTGTACTGCCTTTAAAACACATGTACCACTCCTATTTTTCTCAAATTTTAGCAAATGAATATAAGTGCTGGTGACAAATTGGTTACATAAAAGCAGTTTGAGCCCAACGGGGAGAAAAAATATAATCAAGATGGTCAGTAGGTACAGAATTTATGTGACAAAATTAGGGGATGAGGATGGATGAAAAAAATACAAAATTTCATTTACATTTCAATTCCTACTATTTAAAAATTATAACAAATTTTGAGTTAAAAATAAGATTTAAGCCTCCAAAATTATTTTCCTTGTGTGATACTGAAGATTTAATTTTTCTATGCAGTACTTTTCTTATTTGATAGAAATTAATATTCCAGTCACACGAATATTTGGAAAATTTAATGTAGGTTTTTAAATATATAGAATTCTATTCCAAAAATCACATGTATTTAACCTAAAATTCAGACAACCAGTTGAGTCAGGGAGGGAGGGAGGAAGAGAGGAAAACAAACTTGTATTTGTCCACAGCAATTGCTCAAATTAATTCTTAGTTATCAACAGCCCAGGATGCCATTGACCACAGGCTGCTAATCTCCCCCACAGTTTTCACTAAAGACAGATTCAGGGCTGAATTAGAGAGACAGCCCACTCTGCAAAGTGACATTTTTCAAGGAAACTTTTCATACACCTCCATATTGCAAGGGGATGCCACAGGTTCCATCTCTTTGTAGCGTGTCTATTTTTAAAGTCTCTGTTGTTAGTGTTGCATGATAGGTGATGGAAGTTTCACACTGACGGGGGTCAATGATATTTATAATCACAACTAAACTGCTTTCCATTTGAAATGGACAAAATTTTTTGGTGATTGGAATTTATTTGTTTCTACATACACATCAAGTTATTAAGTGACTTCTTATCTACTTGTCTTAGATATTCCTTTTTAAAATTTAATTTGACAAATAATGTTTAAACTTCTGTATCCAGGTGAAGTGAGGGTATGAAAGTTACTATACTGGCAATAACTTATTTTCACAGTGTTGCTTTGGTAAATGCAATCTGGAAGACTCAGCATTGGGCCTCCCAATTATGCATTAAAATACAGCTCATCTATTGTTCTAAGAGTCAAGTTCTTGATCTGCATATCATGGCACAAAACATCATTGTTTGCAAACCAACGATAATTTTAAAAGAACATAAGACAATACTGTGATGAAGTGTTTGTCACTTTAAACAAACAGCTTACTGTAATGGCCAACTACACAAGTCTTCATTGACAAACTAGACGATAGCTGCTGTGGGTCACCTCATCAAATGTTCTTTCCTTCACTCATCCTTCATTTAGCAAATATTTATTTATTGAGTACCTACTATGTACTCAACAGGCAGTAGGAATATAGCAGTGAAAATGAAAAACTTCTGCTGTGATTTTTCAAAAGAGAACTACTGTGATTTCAGTAATTAACTAGTTATATGGTTCTTTTATTAGTTTTCTAATATATATTTTATATGTTCAAATTGTATTTAATGAATAAAAATTCGTTATTTGGACATTATTAATCTGAGTTGCAAAACATTTAAACAGAATGAAGATGGTAAAAAGTAGCAAAGTATAAGATACAAAATCCATAATAGCCTTTCCCCAATTAGTCCAAATCAAAGAATGATTGTCATAGGAACAATTGTTATCCAATTTAACACCATAGGGAAAAAAATCATAAAGAAAAGGTTATTCTTTTGGGAAGAAGGGAGATGAACAATGAGAGAGAAAATGAATAAATTTGTCAGTGCATTATGACACCCCAGACTATTTTAATAGATTAATACAAATTAGTAATAATCTAGGGAATGCATTCCTTAATACATACTAAGACACATATATAGAGTCTACAACATAAAATGCTCTCGAAATTAAAATTCACTGACTGCCAGGCTGAGTGTGAGAATGTTAAACATTTATTTTCAACCAAGAATTTATTCCTGTTTTTCTTAACTATTTTTAACAGTTTCTAAGTATCATGCCTACCAACAAGCTATAAGAGCTATAAGATGACCACACTCAACAATCAAGATCTACCTGTCCCTTCTAACAACTCACATCCAGATGAATACAAAATTGCAGCCCTTGTTTTCTACAGCTTTATCTTCGTAATTGGATTATTTGTTAATGCCACTGCGTTATGGGTTTTCAGTTGTACCACCAAAAAAAGAACCACTGTAACCATCTATATGATGAATGTGGCATTACTGGACTTAATATTTATAATGAGTTTACCTTTTCGAATGTTTTATTATGCAAAAGGTGAATGGCCATTTGGAGAGTACTTCTGCCACATTCTTGGAGCTCTCACAGTGTTTTATCCAAGTATTGCTCTATGGCTTCTTGCTTTTATTAGCGCTGACAGATACATGGCCATTGTACAGCCGAAGTATGCTAAAGAACTTAAAAACACATGCAAAGCCGTGCTAGCATGTGTGGGAGTCTGGATAATGACCCTGACAACCACTGTCCCTCTGCTACTGCTCTATGAAGACCCAGATAAAGCCTCCACCCCTGCCACCTGCCTCAAAATTTCTGACATCATCCACCTAAAAGCTGTTAACATGTTGAACTTCACTCGACTGATATTTTTTTTCTTGATCCCTTTATTCATCATGATTGGGTGCTACTTGATCATCATTCATAGTCTCCTTCATGGTAGGACATCTAAGCTGAAACCCAAAGTCAAGGAGAAGTCCATAAGGATCATCATCACGCTCCTGGTGCAGGTGCTCATTTGCTTTATGCCCTTCCACATCTGCTTTGCTTTCCTGATGCTGGAAGGGGATGAGAACAGTTATAGTCCCTGGGGTGCCTTTACCACCTTCCTCATGAACCTCAGCACGTGTCTGGATGTGATCCTCTACTACATAGTTTCAAAACAATTTCAGGCTCGAGTCATTAGTGTCATGCTATACCGCAATTACCTTCGGAGTATGCGCAGAAAAAGTTTCCGATCCGGTAGTTTACGGTCATTAAGCAACATAAACAGTGAAATGTTATAAAAAATAAAAAGTTTTTTCCCCTCAATCTCTTTAAAATTCACTTCACTAACTACTCTAGGATCAATGGATACTCTATATTACCAAGTCCTCTTCTCCTGAAAAAAATAAACTTTAAAACCTCTTTTGTGGAATCTTATTATTGTGGCAACATAATTAAGTAATCAAGTATTCTAATAAGTTCATTTTTATATTTAAAACTTGTATAAAACATTTTCATGAATTACTGGGAGGAAAGTACCCAATTTGTGTTTCATAGTCAAGACTTATCTCATAGATAACTGACAACTTTTTGGATTTAATTCTATGTGCAAATAACTCATGTATGTTAATCAAGTCGGTAAAGGGGAAATCCAGCTACTGTTAAAAATAATTTGATCAAATTATTTTCTCTCTAGATGCAGCTCTCAGGTCTATTTTACAGTTAAGACTAAAGTCCTAAATCCAATATTTTATATCCTAAAACCAAACTTCCAGGATTCCTACACAAGAAACTATGTTCAACTGTTATTTGCTGCAGAGCAAAATTAACGGGAGCAAGAACCCAATGGAGCCTGTAAAGGCCATCCCCATCAGTCCTCCCCTACTCTGAATTCATTCTTTTGAAGACAGACTACAGTCACTCAACAAACACTGAGAGTCTACTAGGCAGTGAACCCTACTTAAGACCAATGATGGAAACCTAACCTGAGATCCTATTTCTGTGCAATAATCCAAGTCCATTCCTATGACATGATTTCTACAAATAGTGAAATACCCTTCTCCAATACAAATAGCTTGCTCTTATTATGTGATTAAATATCACATTACAAAAGAGGTTAACTGATTTTTTTCCAGGCCATGTGTCACAGTATAAATAGCACCGGTCAGGGACCTTGGATTCTTATCCCACACTTGCCATTTAATCTCTTCTTAATAAGGAAACAAACGAAGTAACTTCTCCACATTAAAAAAAAAAAAAAAAAGAAATTTAACTGTAATCTGTAAAGCCCCTATTATTCTAAATACTATGGAAGTAAAACGAATGATTCAACTATAACTTCCTCTCTGCTAAATTTACTTCTATTACTCTTAACATGATCACCTCCTAATGGGATTTTAAACCAAATAAATGCATTGGTTATAAATGCATTTCTAGAATTAACATAAATAAATTCATATTCTTTGAAGAAAAAAAAACACAGAGAAGTCTAATCATCTCTTAGATGATCTTCTAGTTCAAATCTTCCATATGAAATAGAAAGAAACTGAGGTCCAAAGAGGTTATGTGACTTGCTCAGCTAAAGAACCAGAACTAGAAAGCAAGCTCAGTTTTCCTCTCATGTCAAACAAGTTTTCAATAATAAAAAGCAAGCACACTTACAGAATGTAAACATTCTTATAACTACATAAGATAAAGGAGTCAAGGTAGTACTGAGACACAGTTTCTCAACAAAGAGAAAAACACTTGAAGTTTTTAGTTTAAATATTCAAGTAAGTAAGATACTTTGATAAATATATTTAAACAATTATTTCTAAACCAAAAGAAATAGCTTCTTTACATGATATGTAGACATGTTTATGGTACACATACACATAGTCATAGCCTTCTCTCAACTATGCAGATGAATCTACTCAAATTTATTAAATGGCAGGTTCTCTGCAGTAGCTTTCCTTGATAAGAAGAGTTGAGTCTGACAATACGAAGCACAACAAAAGACTTTGTTGACACAAAACCAACAAAGTGAAAATGTATGTCATGGTTCTTATGGTAAAATTATAATCTAAATTATACTTTAATTGTAGATAATTAAAAAGTTAATTTAAAAATTATTTAGCACTGTAATCAGATACATTTTAACATGATATGCAAAAATTCAAAATTCCACTGTATTCTGGAGTTTAATTCTGGAAAACAGGGCTGGCCAATTAGCTCAGTTGGTTAGAGCACAGTGTATAACACCAAGGTCAAGGGTGCAGATCCCCATACTGGCAGCAGCCAAAAAAAAAAAAAAGGAATTCTGAAAAACAATGTAACATTCTCATGTGAATACTAAGCATTAAAAAATATTACATATATAAAAACAGATGTGCGACAGGCATAGGTTAGTAAAAGTACCTTCATATATATAGCTTTTAATAATGGAGCTATCTTTACTTCCAAAACCTTACAGTTACATCTTCTGAATTTCAGTCATGAGCACCTATCATATATATGCCAGGTACATTTTCTATGCAAAGCACTAGAAAAAGAGATGAACAGGTCTACAGTTCAATGAGTCATTTTACAGTCTGATTGAGGATATACTGCAATCAAGATTATCCCTTCAATGTTATTGAGTGTAAGGCAATGAGTACGTATAGTAAAACTTGGTTCTCCCTCAAAGAGCTAGTAGGTGGCATAGAAGGTCCAGATAATGATAATGACAGTGCAATATAACAAAAATAAATAGGGATATCAGTAAGTTTATTGTAATACATATAAAAGTGCAATTAATTCTGCCAAAGGGCAAGAGGAAGCAGAAATAAAGTCAAACAGGCACAAGAATACAAATACATAGCATGTTAAAAAAGTTGAATGACCAATGGGGGAGAGGCTTGAAGGACTAGATGTGATCATTTTATCATATTAGGGCTTTAAAGGGAAAGAAGAAAACCAACATATGGAAGGAGAGTGTGCCACCACTAGAATCATAGCATAAGTGAGCTTATTTAATTCTCTCCACTGCCCTGTGAATTATAAAGTACCCCAAATTTTGACATGTGAGGGTCATCTGTAAACCGAGCTCAGGAAATGGAAGCTGAGAGAAGTAACTTCCTCAAGATTTCACACAACTAGTGGGACAGAGCCGGTATTTTAGATTACTTCTGACAGCACTGTATTGAATACTTTGAAATTGATAGGGAGACTAGAGAACTACTGTAAAAACCTAGACAAGAAAAGATTAGACTGGAATAATGACAGTAGAAGTAGAGAAGAAAGGAGGAATAAATGAGTTATTTAGGACTTTGAACTAATAAGACTCAGTGCCCTACCCCATTGGTGAGAAAAAGGAAAGATTTCCAGCTTGGATGACTATGTAGACTGAAATGCCTTTAACTAAAATGAGTACAGAAGGAGAAAAAGAAGAAAATAGAGAGAGGAGACCGGAAGAGATGAGAACTTATGAACATGATGAGTTTTCTTTAGGTCTAGAAGTCATTAGGAAATAAGACTTTAGAAAGATTGGGAGAATAGTATGAACTGTACATAGAGAGCTGGGAAATCAACAACATATTGTCACTGTAGTAGAAGTCATGGGACTGGACAAAATAGCCCAGAGAAACCACTTGGTGTAAGCTTGAGAAAAGAGCTGCGTAATAACTAAGGTCAAAAAGGACCAGGGGAGAGCAGTGTGCTGGGTGGGACTCAAGAGAGCAGGTTGTTTCATGAAATAAGGAGAAGTTAAAAGTGTTTAATGTGTGCTACTGAAGGTCAAATAGGATGACCAGTGGCTTTAGAAATTAGATGGTTACTGATGACCTTTATAAGAGAAGTTTCAATAATGGTGAGGTAAAAAAAAAAGAGAATTAGATAGGAAATGAAGAACTGTAAGAGAGTCCAGATAAATCTGGCATTGATGAGAAAGAAAAAGATAAGATTTACGTGAAAAACACTGCAAGCTGTAAAGCACATTGATTTTTTTAAAAAGAGTAGTTCCTTCTTTCCTGGGTTTTTCAAGCTTTGCTGTCATCAATAAAAGATAAACAGCCCTCTGTATCCACAGTTTCTGCATCCACAGATTCAACCAATCATAGATCAAAAATATTCAGGAAAAAAAAATACAACAATAAAAAATAATACAAATAACAAAACAATATTAGAATAACAACTATTCAAATGGCATTTACATTGTATTAAGTATTATAAGTAATCTAGAGATGAGAAAATATAGGTTATATGCAAATACTGCACCATTTCATATCAGGAGTAAGCATCAATGGATTTTGGCATTCAATCAGGTTCTGGAACCAACCCCCCGTGTATATCGAGGGATGACTATATTTTAAAAATGCAAAGTTTATTTATTGAAGTAAAGATTTATGTTCCAAGATTACCTTCAAGAAAGCTTCAAGATTCTAAAAAGTCATACTGTAAAGTTTTGTATCTTCAAAAGGAAGAGAAATACATTTTCATTCAGGACATGGCTGAGCATTCACATTGTCTTTCAAAGGAGATACTATAACTTTTGAATTTATTCAAGTTTGCAACTCTTGCTACAATCTGATTTAAACAGGTAAATGCCTTCCCTCTCTTAAGAATAAGTAGAAATTTTCCCACCAACTTCAAAATTGAATCAATCCTCTTTTCATGTACCAATTAATAGGATTCCATAATAAAACAAATGAACCTGAAGGTTCTACTATTATTCACGTTTGTACGCACAAGGGGAAAAAAGTGTCATCAGACAAGGAGACGATATAAATAAGAATTAAAAGATATCCATTCCAAAAATATATTCTAACCTAAATACACAGGACACCTAGATACCAAGATAACTTCCATAACTTAGCAGGCCGTACAGAGATCCAAAAACATGGCCTAGATGAGAAATGTTTCAGGAAAAACTGATGATTTAGCAATGTTGCTCCTTTTCAGAATCAACACAGAATCATTCCGGATGACTACACTATTTTCCACAATAGCACAGTAGTCAACTTAAACTTCTCAATCTAATTACAATTAAAATCCTTGGAACTCAACAAACACTGTGTAGTAATTATGACACAGAACTTTATCTTTCTCCATTCAAATATTATTCAATCATATGAAACAGCTAACGGTCGACATCGATGGATATTCATGCCAACTATAGTTCAGTAAATCCCACAAAGGACAATTACACTGAAAATATTAACAATGTAAGGGAGAATGTTATTAGAAAACTAATTATATTTTTTAAATAGGAATCCAAAGTGGATCTGAATCAAAATACATTCAAGAGGTTAAAGGTTCTCAAAAATATATTTAAAACAAAAACAAGACTGAAGTTAGTACACACAGAATTTTAAATATCTGATATCTATATTTCATACTACCTCATCTCCAAAATATAATCTCAGATACTTAACTCAGAGATGCCTTCATCATTCATATGTGCTAACAACTCTGCTCCTAGATGCTAGTTATTTCATACATTAATACATACTTTTTGTTTTTTTAAAGATCAACACAATAAGAAAGCATGCATACTCTGAGTGACTGTTGGTCATTATTGCAGGTTTGCTACAAAGTTACATCCTATACACTAACTTTGTTTTATGTTTGGTGGAAGTATATAAACAATACCAGCTTAAAAAATCATTCTTCAGAAGATTAACTTCATACAAATTTATTTTGTTTCCTAATCTAATTACTTTTGCATTTGTATGTGCAATTAGTTCATAAAGTTACAAATTTCATTATAAAAAACACACAAAATTAATTCTACTTTCAGGACCAGACTAGGAAATGCATTAGAAATTTTCTAAAATGTGGAATTTTGTAGCTGAGAAAAAGAAAAGTTAATGTAAAAATGATTGTTTCAAGAACATAGTGAAAACGTAGGCACACATTGGATTTTTTTTTACATGTAAATCAATTTTACTATACCTAAAAGATTAAAATATTCTTTTACTGACTTTCATGTACAATAACACTTCAAATCAGATTTAAGTAGTTCTAAATTAAGTCAATCATTAAGAGCTACTTACAATCCAGAAGGCAAATTGCTGGCTGCAGTGATACCAAATGAATACTGCATGGTTTCAACAAGGATAAAGTCAAACAAGGCTGACAAAACCCAGGAGCCCAGCAAAAACGACTAAAAAATAAGACAGGAAAAAAATTATAGAGATGAGTCTCCCCAAAACAAACTAACTTATTAATTTAGCTAGTACCAGCTCCAGTATATATTTAATTTTAAGAAGTTATTTGTTGTTACTAGAACAAACTTTTCAAAATTGTGGAGTAGAACAATATTTTTCAAACACATTAACTTCCATAATTTCCAAGTATGTTGAAAAAAAGATATTTATAGCAAGATATATTCTTAATAAGTAACACACAAATCATTAAGCAAAATAAGTGATTAGATTTTTTTTTTTTTCATTTTATTTGTCTGCTTGTTTTTGGCAGCTGGCCGGTACAGGATCAAACAGTGGACCTTGGTGTTATTAGCACCATGCTCTAACTAACTGAGCCAACCAGCCAGCCCTAGAATTTTATTAAAGTCAAATTCCTGATTAAAATTTTATTATCTCCTCACATCTAATATTATCTACTACTACTACTACTACTACTACTATTATTATTATTATTTATGCTAGTGGCTGCAATTTTAAATTTTTCTTTGGTTAATATCCATGTCTCAAATTAGACACAGAATCATGTAATTAAAAAGATATGTATAAATAATAATACCAAGTTTAATAAAATAAAACCTATTTAACAAACTTTTTTTTCTATAACCTAAGTAGCAAGGCAAAATACATAAAAACTTACTGCAAATTTTCTGCTTCCAAATCTTCTTTCAAATATCCTAAAATTATAAATAAGCAGGCTACTGCAGAAAGTATCTTTCAAATCAAGGCAAATTATTCTTCCACATATCAACCTCCAAATCTAAATGGGAGTTTAAAAAAGAAAAATAAATGAAAGATTTTCAGGTCTCTTCCTTAGCAAACTTATTACATTTATTTTACACTGTTTATTTTTTATATTCTAAGCAAAGTCATGATACACACACAAAAGGAAATCTAAATATGTGTATTCTCTAAGAAACAAGCTCAACTCTCTCATACTAAAAATTGCTTCCAACAATAACACAAAGGGTATTTAACAACAGAAAACTTCCTGTAAAAAAGTTTAGGACTATGTTTAGTATGATAAAAAATTACATATGTGAGCTGGAACAAAAGGCTAACAAACGTTCATTTCTACATTACTGAATAAAAGTTGTAACTAAAAAACAACTTAGACATAAACTTAAAAATATACATTTCTGAGCTTAATTTTAGTGATTAACCTACTTCATAGCAACTATGTACAAGACAATTTATGGTAACCACTGCTAAATATTACTAGACTTAAAATATTATTAGTTTATTTAAATCAACTTCTAGTTGGGTGAAAAACATAAAAGGAAATATACAAAGAAGAAAGAGCTACACAAAAGCCTATTTGGAGTCATCTTAAACATTTTCCAGATTTTTAAAGATAATCCCAGTGACGTAAAACATTTGGATCTTATTTCCCCTTCACAACTACCTTAAGAGATAGGTAAAAGAAATATTAACTCTACCTTTTCTTTGTATCTTTATTGTGGTAAAATTGACATAAGGTAAAATTTTAACTATTTTTAGGTGTACAGTTCAGTGGTAATGAGGACACCGACAACGTTGTACAAACATTACCACTATACATTTCGAGAACTTTTTCATCATCCCAGACAGAAACACTATATCCATTAAATGTTAACTCTCTATTCCCCTCCCCTTGGCTCCTGGTAAATACTATTCTACTTTATGTCTCTATGAATTTGCTTATTCTAGATACCTCGTAAGTGGAATCACACAATATTTGTCCTTTTGTGACTGGTTTATTTCACTTTGCATAATGTTATCAAGGTTCACATTGAAGCATACATCTGAATCTTATTCTCTTTTATGGCTAAATAATATTCTATTGTATACATATACCATATTTTGTTTATCCATTTATCTGTTGATCGGTATTTGGGTTGTTTCCACCTTTTGGCTATTGTAAATAATGCTATTATGAACGTTGTTAATATTAAACCTGTCTTAAGATAAAGAAAAAAAGGCACAAATAAAGTACTTTACTTGCTCAAATTATACAACCTGTACTCTTGCCAACAGAAATAATGAGAATACCAACTGTCAAAACATTTCACATCTGTCTTTATTTCTAGCAAGACAACAGGCAGTCTTTGTCATCAGTGTACTGCAAAGTATAAGGGCACTAGACAAGTTCAGGGATAGCTACTAGAGTTTATTTCACCAGCCAGCCTAGCTGAAGTGGGGGTCTACAAGTCTGTGTTGAGGCCACAGCTGAGTTCAAGGAGAAAGGGCACCATGATCAGGTAGGAATGACTATCATAGGCACACATGCGTCACATATGAGCCATCCTAAAACTAAACTTCTTTTCTCCCTAAGAAATTCTATGACTGCACCAGAATCACATTGAAACCTTAGGCCACACATAATACCACCAAGATGGTCAAATGAGAGTACACATAACAACACTTAGGAAACTGTCAAATATTTCACAAATAAAAGATAATGATGACTGTCATATTTGCAGAACAGCAAATTCAAATACCATGAAAGGCAGCTCCAAGTCTTCTATCCACACATTTAATAATTTATTTTTTATTGAAACACAGTTGATTGTACATCTGTGAGGTATACAAATATCAATACCTGTGTGTAATATGTGATGCTCAAATCAGGACAATTAGTATACTCAACATTACCCACATTTAATATTATAAAGAAAGTGTTCTACTCAAGTTCTGATAGCCACTAGGAAAACTTAGAGATTAAGGAAATTAAGACTTTATGATTACTAACATAACAAATTGTGTTTATAAAAACCCCACTGGATTTTTTTTTTTTGGTATTTTTTGTTTCTTTAGCTAATGACAAATAAAACTGGTAACTTGAGTGTTTTTTTTTTTTAATTTATTTATCATTATTATTATTTTTTTACATTCTAAGATGCTGTTGTGGACAGCTGGGAGGGAGAGGCAGAACGGAAACAGCAAAGACCTAAAGAAAATTGCAGATAGTATCTCCACTTTAACTGCCAAAATCTGGGAGATTCAGAACGTACAAAATAAAGCCCTGCATCAACTGCCCCTCCCGGACTCTTGTAATCTAGGCTTGCATTAGACTCAAACCATGCCTCCTATACTGTACTCCTAAGGGTCTGAGGCATTTTTCTGAAGTAAAATGCCTTTCTCTTTAATGAACAGTCAGCCCTTCTTTCAAACCAAACTGAAAATTCACACCCCTAAGGCTCTCCAGGGCAATCCTACCTACCCTCTACTGGTCCCTACTTCATTTAATATCCCCTGAGGATTTAATGTCCACTCATGTCCTACAGTATCACGTTCTTATGGGAGTATGTGTTTGGATTTCTCAAGGCAGAACTGAAACTCCTCACATCTCTATAGCGGCTTCTCTTTTATTTTTAAATCCAGGATTTGAATTTTTTTTGATGGCTGGCCAGTGTGGGGATCCGAACCCTTAACCTTGATGTTATCAGCACCACACTCTCCCAAGTGAGCTAACTGGCCAGCCCCTCTGTAGCAGCTCTGACAGCCTCTTAGGAGGTTTTAACAGGAGAGTGCGTCTACTCACATTCCTGGACAGAAGAGTGGTCCTCTTCCACCTAGGCAGGTCACCACCTTTAAAGCACAGATGCCTATAGAGTGGTGCTTAGCCAGATGAACCAAATTAACCCCAGAAATGAGAAAGGGGCCAACCCAGGGCCAGAAGGCCCTTACTTTCCTTTACAGCAGTGATTCTCAAAGTTGGCCCATCACTAGAAGTTCCTGGGGATCATTATAAAAGGGACACCAATGCCCAGGCCCCACCACCAGACTCTTTGACTCAACTCAGCTGGAATAGGGTGAGACCCTAGGGATATGGACACACACACACACACACACACACCCCACCCCCCCCCAGCAGAACAATGTTTCCAGTCATCAATGGACTACATATACAACAGTGCTCCTGTTAAGACTGCAATGACTATACCATACAGCCTAGGTGTGTAGTAGGCTATATCATCCGGGTTTGTGTAAGCATGCTCTATGATGTTCACACGACAAAATCACCTAACGATGGTTTTCTCAGAATGTACCCCCATCGTTTAGCTATGCATGACTGTATAAAGATACTTGTATATATACAAGGGTACTTCATAAAAAAATGAAATTAAAAGATAATATCTTTTCCACAAACATTTTGAAGACCCCATGTATATCTTTTTTCTAAGTTTCTCCAGGTGATTCTAATGTGTGGCCAAGGTTGAGAACCACTGCATTATAGCAACTGAAATAACACAGAAGCTATTTTGCATCCTGACAGAAAGCAGTAATATGGATAAATAACTGAAAGACCTTCATAGGGGCTTGGTGAAGCCAGCTGAGCAATGGTATTAATTATATCACTATGAAAAAAAGGTTTCAGTGTTATTTTTAAAAAAGGGGGGTGGGGGGATTATTATGCTTAAAATGGTTAATCAAGTACTAAGCAAAGAAAGATTGGCAGGTTACACACCAGAATTCACACCAATACTCCAACTCACAGACAAGACCCCAGCACTAGCATTTTCAATGATATCAGTCCATAAATCTTGAAAGCCATAGACTTCTGCTCTTTCCCACAGCAAAAACTCAAGAGAAATTTCCTACTTGATTTAACCACCACTATAAAAGTAATCATAAATCCACAATCTGTCACAGCTCAAAGAGCCTACATCATCTAATCAAATATTCAAAATAGGACAAGTTTTTGGAAATGTTAAGTTTGCATACTGATCCTAAAAAAAATGATTTAATATTGTTTTTAAAACTCGTTTGAAATTATAAATTGCACTTGCATGATAAAAAGTGAAACTGAAAATAGATGGAAAGCAAATCTAGAAAAAAAATCATCCTTCTCCCCTCCCTGAGGCCAGCAAAACAGAGCTCACCTGGAAGTCATTCTTGACTGCTTGGAGGTCATATACAAAGAACTTCTGGCAGTGAGGCAGGAGGAGAGCCAGCAAAAGGGACAGGGCACTGGGGACCAGCAAAAGACTCTTCGACAGAGGTGCCTTGTCTGGAGGGAAAAAGGAAACCACTTTAAGAATTTAAAAGATTTAAATTAAATTAAAAGATTTTTAAAACCACATGGGTGAAAAGCAAGAGAATTCACTTCTTTTGAATCAGAATGAAGACAAAATCCAGAAACTCCAAAATTTAGTTCTTACCAAAATACAGTTTCAAAACAACCACCTAAGTGATCAAAGGACACCGGAAAATGAGTGGAATTCATTGGCAGGGGCTTCACTGTCAGTTGGCTTTTATGAGACTGAACCAAGTTTATAGCCAGTAACTTGCACAGAACTCCTTTCAGAAAAGGGTTACCGAAGTGTTAAGAAACGGAAGAGTATGTTTTTATCAAATCGACCAGCTAGCTCCGGAGCATGCAAGAGATCCATAAACATAAATACATTTGTTTAAAAAATAAAAAGAGGTTAAGTGTTACCACTGTTGACCAGTGGCCTCCTGAGATTTTCCACCATGAGCACAATTGGAGCCTGAGTCAGTTTTCCTCACGCGACTACGCCTACACTAAAAGCAGTCGCACTGCTCTTGCTTCTTGATCTAATCATTTACGTATGATCTAACTACATTACCAAGGATATGCGGGATACTTTAGAAACAGTATAAATCTCTTCTCTCTTCCCTCTGATATAAAAGAGAGATAAGAAGAGCAGCAAATTTGTTTTCTACCGGCTCTTCACTTTTTTTCCCCAACAAAACATGTCAGCTTGAGACATCTAGGTGGCCTCTCCTCTCCCTCCTGGTCTTCCTTCAGTTCCCCCTCTGTGTTTTCGTGCCTTCCCTTCTCATGGATGCTGAAAGCAAGCCCCTGACGCTGCTCCTGAGCTAATCCATGGGACAAGACGAGGGCTGCAAGCAGGGAGGGGCCAGAGCCCGGAAGACCTCGTGTGGACACTTACTGTTGCTCATCCTTGGACACAGCACTAACCTCTGAGCATCAGTCACCTCACCTGGTAACTCCTAATTCTCAGGGCTAGTCTGAGAATGAAGCAAGGTAGTACATGAGAATGGCTAGCACAGTGCCCAGCCAGGATGGGCTCAGAAAAATAAAGTGGATCGAAATCTAGGGAAGCCACCGAAATAACGTTTTCCTTGGAAACAATCGCTTTACATAATAACCCAATAATATCCATAGTGTCAAAAGACTAGTATTGAGAATCCTCGTGGTACCAGCAGGTTTGGCTACAAAAGCATAGCTGAGATCTTCATAAAAGAATGAAATACTCAAGCTTAGTCAAAAACCTAAAACCCTCCTTTTTTCCTACTAATATCATTATTTTCTCCCATCCTTTTCTTATGAAAAATTTTACACTTAGAAAAAAGTGTGGTTTTAATTTCCACTGATGATCCTTACCCGAATCAAGATTTACACTAGGATTTACATAATGGTAATTTTGATGATGCTATCATTATTTTTATATTTTTTTAGCTGGCATTCTTCATGTAATAAGTTCCTGGGTTCATTCTCCTTTATTTGGGTATCACTCTATCCTCACAAATTTTACTTATTCAGTGTGTTACAATCAATAACATTATAATTTTTTTTAATGTCCCAGTGGCAGACCTTTCACCCACTCCCCCTCCTGTGGCCTTTCAACGTTGGCCCTCCATGCCCTGCTATGGCCACGCCCACGCCATTCCTTTCTGAGCACTTCCTTGCTCTCTGGCTCACATGTACTCTCTCCTAGAATTTCTCAAAGGAGCCCTGTTAGGGAATGTTAAGGAATGGTCTTTAGAAACCAAATCTGGACATTAGATCCAAATTACAGCTCAGTTTCCATATTCTTCCATTAGCCTAAGTGAACCATTTTAGCCCCAAAGGCTTTTCCCTCATGCCCACACACTACTATGAACAGTCAGGGTTCTGGACAGTTGTGCCTTCCCAACTACACTGGAGATCCCTGAAGGGAAGCCACATGATTTACTCTTCTCTACATCTGCCATAAAACCCAGCACAGCCCCCTGCACAAATGAAATGTTCAGATCATCAGCAGGCAAGACCACAGGAAAGTACCACTGATGGGGGCATTCTCAGATTCTGTGAGGTACACTTTGATCTTACTCAAAAGAAATTTCCTGGGGGTGAATTTACCAGTTACAGTCAATACTGTGGTTATTGCACACATTTAAGCATATAAAAAGTAGCCCAACTATTTCCTCTTTGGTAAGGTCCTGCAAACCTCTAAATTGGAACCACTAATAAAGTGGTTGCATACTCTCCTCATGACCAAAACGCAATCAAGACTCCACAGAATCTAAAATCTAACAGAGCTCCCAACTGCCTAGTACCTCAAAAGTACAGGAGAGCACCATGGCTGTGAGCTAGACCAACCTAAATTCTATCCTGAGTAATTTCAGCTTCAGTTTTCCTCGCCAGTAAAATGAGGATGAGAACCTATCTTAAAAGTGTTATGAAAAGAAAATGAAATAAAGAATGAATACAGGGAAAACTGCTCCTAGCACCAGCAACACCACAATCCCCCAAGAAAGTGGGCTTCCCTCATTAAAGGCGAGCTCATTATTGTGACAAGCTGAAGATGTAGCAGGGTGACTTAGGTGCACCTTAAAGGGGTGGCGAGATCAAGTTTCTTTCTTCAACTTGGACTTCCACCTGTGCTTGTGAAATGGGCCCCGTGTTTCCTACCTTTTCCTTACTGGAGAAAAACCACACAGCTGAGCTGCGAGACTTCACAGTACGTTCATGGTCTCAAATCTCAAACTGACACTCTCCACTGACCAGCAGTTCCACTGCTTTCTCTAGTCAGTCTTGTCTCCAACCTCGCTCCTCAAACGTCCTGACTTCACACCCCAACTGGCTTACATGTCACCAAGTGAAGAAAGAATTGCTTTGATATTCTCAATCATCCTCTACATATTAATCAGCACCTACTGTAAACCATGCATTTTTCTAGATCCTGAGGTACAGCACAAAGTCCTTACCTTTGTGGTGTTTACAGTCTACACAGGAGAGAAAAGAAAAGAAATCAAGATGGAGACATATTATGTCAGATGGAAATAAACGCTGTAGAAAAATTAAGCAGGGTAAAGCCAGGGGCTGTGTTATACACCAGTTATTCCTTGGTCTCCTCCCAGACACATGGTAGGATTGCTACCCACTCCCACTCCTGACTGAAGTTAGGTATGGCAATGTGACTTGTTTTGGCCAAGTAAATATAAAGTAAGTCACTACCAGGCAGATAGTTTAAGAGCCAGTGAATCATTCTTGCTCTTTCCCTGTGCCAGTACTCAAGACAGTGGCTGCCCTATCAGCCAGACACCTGAGTGCAGACAATAGCGTAGACTCCCCACTCACTGATAACTCACAGTGGAGATGTAGTGGCATCAGTGAGAAGCAAATCTTGTTGCTTTAGGTCCCTGGTGTTGTGTTGTTTGCTATCACAGCATAACTTAGCCAGCCCTGGTTCCAGGGTAAAACAGAATGCTATTGGAGAAAGAGAGGTACCATTTTACACAGGGGGGTTAGGGAAGACCCTTCTGATAAGGTGAGGTTTGAGCTGAGGCCTGAGGAATTGGGCCTTGCAGATATCTGGGGGAGGAGTGTTCCTGGTAGACGAAAAAGCAAATACAAGTGCTTTGGGAAAGGAACACACTCAGTATGATTAAGAAACAGTAAGGCTCCCACGGCAGCTAAAAGCAGGATAAGCCCAAGAAAGAACTGTTGCCAGTTACTGAGACAGCCCTTAATGTATTATTCAGATGCTGTCTTTACCATACCTGCAAGACCTTAGCACATCTTGCAAAAAGCTTCCAAATCCCATCTGCTAGGGCTCTACCACCTACACCAGCACTATTCAAAGTAACCAGTCTGCAAACCATTACCAGCCTACAATGAGGTAAGGATTTTGTGCCAAATGTAAATCAACACACTGCCTCCTTCAGGGATAAAGTCCTGCTATGAAAAAACACCACCTGAACTAAACGTGGTCTCCTCAAACATCATCTTTTTCATGAAATACCTCCCTGTAACTCTCTATCCCTTTCGTCCTGATTTATCTTTCATAGCACTTACCAGCAAAACTCAATAGTGATTCATCGACTCTGATTCAAACTGATTGTAAGATACACCATTATTTTTGATGCCACTAAAAAAGAAACACTGCCAAATATAATTCTAAGATGTCATCAATTGTAAGGCACACCCCAAGTTTAGAAATATTAAAATGTGAAAAAATGCATTTTAGAATCAAGGAAAATTTTTTTGTTTATTGTCCATCTCCCCTACCATCAGTCTCCACTAGAAGATAAGCTTCTTGAGGGCAGCAACTTTATCTGATATGTTCACTGTTTTAGTATCCTTCGTGCCTGTAATAGGACCTGGCTGGTAAAGGCAGTCAATAAGTGTTTGTTAAGTGAAAGGTGACTGATTTATAAGAGGTGCCCAAATACTCACTGGTGGGAGCAACCCAAGTGTCCACTGACAGATGAATGGATAAAGGAGTAAACAATACAATATTGGTATACAATAGAATTTAATTCAGCCTTTAAAAGAAAGGAAATTCTGACACATACAACAAAATGAATGAACCTTAAGGACATCATGCTAAGTAAAATAAGCCAGTCATAAAAAGATAAATATTATATGATTCAACTTATATGAGGTACCTAGAGTAGTAAATTCATAGAAACAGAAAGCAGAATGGTGGTTGCCAGAGACAGAGGGGAGGGAAGACAGGGGAGTTATTTAATGGGTGTAAAGTTTCAGTTCTGCAAGATAAAAAGAGTTCTGGAGATTGGTTGCACAACAATATAATTGTACTTAATACTACTGAACTGTATTCTTAAAAATAGTTAAGATTTTATGTTATGTATATTTTACCACAATTAAAAATTAAAACTAAAAATAAATGCATAATTAATGACTGATTCTACTTATACAACCATTTTAGTTCTGCCTAGGATTAAACAAACCCCTAAAAATACAGATCTGGTCACTTAAATCTGCAACTCTACCATTAAGTCCTCCTTTTAAGA